GTAGAGAAATGGAAATAAAGTATGAGCTTTGGTTAACACTAATGTATCTATCAGCACTGGTCCCTTAGTTGTGATAAGTGGACTGTACTAATTAAGACATTTGCATTGGGGTCAGCCAGTGGTGTAGTGGTTAAGGCGTTGGACTCCCGTATGTCCGATCGCGGTTCAAATCCCAGACTTAGCAGCTTGAAAATCACACCAGGCACGAGTCCATGCATGCTCCAAATTCCAGGGAGGAGAATGGAAGAGAAAGGACTGAAATGTGGCCATTATCCCCGGGGGCTGAGTTCTCACTTTCCCTCTTTCCATCTCTTTGTCTCTCTATAGAGTGCACCTGCCCTATCGAAAAAAAAAAAAAAGTAACCTTAAGAAACTAAAAAAATGGGTACCAACAGTTAGTGTAATGGCTATGTCGCTGGACTTGCATGTAGTCGACCGCGGTTCGTGTCCCGGACCCGGTGGCTTAAAATTCACGCCAGGCACGTGTGTGTGCATGCCCAAGATTCTGAGAGAACAGAGGAGAAGGGATTGCGGCGTGGTCATCTCCCCTGGGTGGTGATTTCTCGCTTTCTGTCTCTCTGTCTCTATCTGTCTAGCGAGCACACGCACCCTATAGCCAAAAACCTCTCCAAAAAAAAAGACGTTCACATTGGGGAAACAAGTAAAGGATAGAAGATCTCTACACTATCAAGTTTTCTGTAAATCTGCATCCAAAATAATGAGTAAAATAAAGAATATTCTTTTCTAAAGTAAAGAGTCTTCTTTTTAAAAACACTAGCAGCATATGTGGTGGTACGCTTGCAGGCATTTCTTAATTTTACTTCTCTGCATTTTCTAAGTAGTCTGCAATGAATATACTTTTGTCATCAGAAAAAAATTCAATAAACTTTGCTTTAAAAAAAATGAATGGATGGGGGTTAGGGCCTTCAGAGACAGAGTGCTATATAAATAAAAGTAATTAGAGTCATTCCTTGGGCAGCGATTAAAACCTACTTTATCACTCTGTGCCCAGGCGGGCCCAGCCACCAGGGCCTGGCTCACTCCCCGAGGTGGGGCTGGGGGGTGTGCCTCTGAAACCTGCCAGCGTTTTTCCTGCCTATGGTCCAGGGGGGGGGGGGGGGGGGGAGCCGCAGCTGCTGCTGCAGCCAGAGGACTGTCCCAGGTGAGCCCACATTTCTGGCTTGGAGAGGCCCCGGTGAAAAATGAGCCCCAAGAAAATCACATCTTCTAGCTTCCAGACAGACCAAGACCAGCCTGCTCTGGTCACCGGCCCGGGAGGCAGAAGGATAGCAGATGGTCCTCAGTTCCCACCACAAGAACAAAGGGCCAGAGAGACCAGGCGGGATCACATGCCGCCCAGGCACTCAGTTCACCACCGTGCAGACCCGGGGAGTCCTGCGGACAGATCCTCCATTTTCACTCCTGCTGTAAAGCCAAGGCTCAGAGAGGTGCCCAGCTTGTAAGGGTCAAAGCAGAATAACAAGTCTGATCTGCTCATTCCCCCCTAGAGTGGCCCTCAGGGTCACCTGTCTCTAACCCTTCTGAGGACAGGCTGTGGCCACAGCAAGCAGCTGGATCACAGTTAAAGGAAGCAGCACACGCTGGGCAGCACGACACAGCCACCCAAATGCTGAAGGCTCCACGGACACCGGCCAGGTGTGCTTGGCCCAAACTCCAGGTCCAGCCCCTGGATCATGGGGAGGTGGGAAAGCACGGGGGTGGGGGGAGGGGCGCTCCCTGGGCTCCCATCCTG